AAACCGTTAGCACAAAGCTTAGTGAGTTTCCCAAAATACCTCATACCATACAATGGGCCATGCCCCACTCCTATTGGGCCTCGCCCGACATCGAGCCCCGCTCGAAACAGATCTGACAATAACATGAGATGGGCCCCGCCTTATCACATTCATCAGGCCCCGCCCGACATTCATACATACATATAAAACACATGTAAGAATCACAAAGATAAATAGCATGCAATACACTCATCGGGCCCCGCCTGACATCAGACTCCACCCGATATACATATCACATACCATACACACTAGAGTCACATAGACAACTAGCATCGTACTCATAATAAATCATGGTTCGACATTGGTGCCTTCGACCCGCCAAACACAGTGAGGAGACTCACCTCAAACTGCTGAATATATCATATAAAAGCTCGGTTGCTGATCCAGGAAATCTCCACACTAAACATCATCAAATAATACCCAATTAATAATTGGGCCACAAACCATAACTGAGATCCTAGTTCATTTGTCCAACATCCAGGGTAAAATACCATTTTACCCCTTCGTTACTTGGCCCAATATCCGAGGCCCAACCCAATGGCACCAAAAAGCCCAATACGACCCAAATCCCTAAATGATACCCAAAACCCAATATGGTCCCAAATCCAAGGAGGCCCAGAGCCTAGTATTGCCCAAAGTCAGAAAGGCTAATGGCCCAATAAGGCCCAAAACCCCAGTAGTCCAAATATGGCCCAAAGTCGCAAAAAGCCCAAGACCAGGCCTGGTACGCTGCGCATACCAGGCGCACACCCTACGTACTAGGATGCATGTATGATCGCGGACACGAGCACATACACGCATTGTACTTTTGAGTACGCCCAATGTACGCGCCTATTAAGCACTTTCTTCTTAAGTGCTTAATACTTGCATTCCAACATCCAAATTACAGATCCAGGTATTGGGGAACGTCTTAATCCATAAAGTTCTTAACTTGGAGCCTTTGCATGGCTCAAAAGGACCCAATACTCGCTTTTGACCATTAAGACTCACAATAAGAGTCCTACTTCATGCATGGTCCAAAATAAGACATCAATGTAGCATTTTTTTATGCATAAGGAACATTAGAGAGGCTAAGATCTAGCATTTCCAACTCCTGGAGTTACTTATACTCATAAGGATGACTTATGGGGCCAAAACATACCAAAACAAATCCCTAAACTAGATCTAGCAATTGGAGTTACCAAGGTAGAAGCTTTATACCTTATAAAGCTTGCAAAGTTGATGAAGATTCTGGATCTTCAAGCTCCAATTCCACCAAAGCTTCACCATTAAGCTTCATCTTCTTCTAAGTAACCAAAAACACAACAATATCACAACAATGGCTCATAAACACTCAAAGGGAGGCTAGGGTTTCATTCTCAGGGTTTAGAGAGGTGGAGGCTAGTCCTAAGAAACTCCCAATGCAACTTAAGGTGTTTAAATAGGGCACAAACCCTAAAAATTAGGGTTTGTCCCTAATGAGCGTACACCCAACGTACTACCATGTACGCCCAGTGTATGTGAGTTCCTCCACGTCTAAGCCATCGAGCCAGTACGCCCAGTGTAGGGGTGAGCAAAAACTGAACCGCAAACCAAAAAAAACGCATAAACCGACACCGAAAAATCGAAACCGAAACAAAAACCTATGGTTCGGTTTTTAGTTTTGTAAAAACCGAAAAATTTCGGTGCAGTGCGGTTTTTAGTTTTGCAAAAACCACAAAAAACCAAACCGAACTATATATATATATATATATATATATATATATATATATATATATATATATATATATATATATATATAATAAAAATGACGTAGTTTCATTTACAAAATGTGTTATCTTTATTAATTCCTTATCAATTTGTTTTATGGGTTGTCAAAAAATTTCCATTGAGTTTTTTCCATTTGGATTGATTTAGATTGAGTTTAAAAAATTTTGGACTTTTTTTTGCCAAATTGGTTGAACTTGCCTCGTGGTACCCGGTTTATATGATGACTAGACTGTCGCTTTGTTTTTTTGTTACAAACAGGTTTTTAGGCTTTAAAATATTGGTGGTGGTTTTAAACTGCATCCAAACAATATGCATCAAATTTATGCGGTTAAAAACCGCACCATAATCACAAAAAACCGAAATTGCATAAAAAATCGGAAAACCCCCCTCTAAAATAACCGCACCATTCGGATTTACGGTTGGAATAACCGTAATTGCGGTTTGCGGTTCGGTTTTGTTCAATAACCACACCGAACCGCACTATGCTCACCCCTAACTCAGTGTACTCGGCTAGAGACCAAAATGTAAGAAATTTTACTATAAAGGGCTAAAAGAAACATACCTAAAATTGCAAGTGTTACATTGTACTCCTTGGAACAATACTTGTTACGAAAAACATGTATTACGATAAATATATTAATACTTCATAGAAACTTAATAATTTAATTTATAAAATATAAATCTCAAGTCAAAGTTAAAGGTTTGGAGTTTATTTAACTAGATTATAAAATTTTATGTGCAACTATTATCTAACCTACTTAAGTACATTATGACTAATAATGTTAAGTGATTAAGTGAATAAGGTTAAGTTGATAACGTTAGAGTCAGTTGGTAAGTTTGATACCAATTTGGGGTCAAATGAGAAAAAATAGAACTTATGTGATCAAATAAGTCAAATTAACAAACAGTAGGCGTAAACCCCTAAACCTCTTCCATCTCCTTCATTCAAACAATTTTGAAGAAAATGAGAATGTGGGAAGACGATTTTGAGAGCTTGGAAGGAGCTGAGAGCTTTAATTGATGTCGCATTAAAGATTAGAAGCCTGATTCTTTAAAGAAGCTAGGAGTCAGGTGACCATTAGTCATCCAAATATCACTAGAAGAGTAGTAAAGTACCGACAATAAGTTGATGTGAGTTCATTATAAAAAAATACATGTCTTTTATTTATCTTATACTACGACTTTTCCTATAGTTACTTAAATTTGCATTTATATTATGAGATATTATAAGTATATATGTACATTAACGAAAACAGTTTTACAATGAGTTTTAAAGTGTTGGTTTTGAAAAAAGTTTTGATTGTTATCATCAAATATGAAATGTACCATGTATCAAATAAAACAAAATCAAAATGTTCACTTCGTACAACTAGTGTGAAATGTCATACTCAAAATGCTTTATCTCATATATGAAAAGAGTTTGTGACACTTCAAAATGCAAGTGCTTTACAATTGCAATGTAATTTTTCGAATATGGTTGTCAATTTGATTACTACCAAAAATTTGGATCATTTTTGTGATTATCCTATTGGGAAAATACTACCGTACAAAAACGAAGTTTGGTCGTTTTACTTATTTGGTCGCTAAACTATTTTTTTACGCAACAGATCATTAAAATTAAGTTTTACATGTCAATTACACCATTATGTGACCTGATAAAGAAATAAACAGTTGCTTTGTTGATGTCGGCATTTTTTAAATTAGATTTCTATATATTTTTAGGGGCTAACTAATCTCTCACTTCTCTGTCTAAAAATAGCAAAACTTATCTCCATGTTACTTGCTTTCATCTTCATCTCCAACTCAGTTCTGCTGCTAAACCTGTAAATCCAATGGAAGGTATCTTACTATCTTTCACTTCATATTTTGATTTCATTAACACCCCATATGATTAACACTATTGACGCCATTATTACTCGTCTTTTGTGAAGTTGATCAAGAGTTGAAGTTCACCTTCCCCTTCCCACCACCAACCACCTTCGTCTACCACCGCCCACCACCACCACTAACTATAATCAACGTTAATGAAATCATCATCACAATATGAATCTATCCATGATTGTTAGTCAAAAATTGTATCCTCCTTATTGCCTGCAAGTCAAAATAACAAGATTAAAAGATAGAAATTAATCACAACCACCACCACCATACAGTCCACCACCACCAAATCTAGAGACTCGAATACATTACCTTCAAGGAAAACACAAATCGATTACATTCAAGAAAAACGAAGATCGATTAGCTTCAAGAACTTCACTATCATTATGAACGTAATCGCTCTCAAAGAAACTCATATTCATATTGATACTAATGAAGAAGATTAGCTATCACCATCGCTCTCAGGGGCGGAGCATACTAAGGGCAGCCCCCCCTGTTTTTTGGCTTATAATTAGGTTTTCCTACTAATTTTTATATATATCAGACATAAAATTATAAGATATACGCTTTGGCCCCTGCTGTTTTTTTTTAAAGAAACTATAGTTTTAGTTTTGGCCCCCCCAAATAATTTGGTCAAGCTCCGCCACTGATCACTCTCAAACAAGGCAGAAGATTACACCTTTCCGCACCATATAATCGAACCAAAAACTCAAAATCTAACTCAAAAATTATAAGAATTGAACCAAAAACTCAAAATCCACTTTAGCTCATGTGAGAATCAAATCCAAACTTGCAAGAAAAATCTTTTCACAGATCTAGAATCAAGATTCGCCGATGAAGAATGGGTTTTTCAGATTTTTCGTCATTCACGATTACAAAAAACCCATCGTCGACGAAGATAAAGATTTACAAACTCTCATGGGAATGTTACTTTCCGGTACACCTAGTAGGATGAAAGACGTCACCGTCATTGTCGGATATTGTCGTTTCCAGAGAGAGAGGAAGGATAATGAGTTCAATGATTTTTATTTTTCCTTTTTTCTAAGTGATAAATATTATGTGGCATTGTGTTTCCACCTTATTTGCCCTAAAACCTGATAAACGGTTAGTAAATTTGTGGTTTCCAATTTCATTAGTAAAATATGACTTTTAATGATTTGTTGTGAAAAAAAAATTAAATTAAATGGGAAAATTCATCAAACTTCCTTGTGCAATAATAAGATTTTCCTATCCTATTATTTTAAGTCTAAGGGGTATTCATGTAGATTTTGCAAACATTAGGGGCAATGATGGCAAAATAAATGAGTCGGAGGAAGTTCAGTCGCAGCTTTCAACTACACCGCCCCAACCCGCTCGAGACCGTCGTTACACTTACACCCTGCAATTTATCGTCGCTCTCAGTATCGATCTTCTATTTCTATTTTTCAGAAATCGATCAATTAAATTAAGGAATATTAGTAGACGATTGCATCGTCATCAACATGAGGAAGCGAGATTTAGCAATCCTTATGCTCGCCGCTTTCGCCATTTTCTTTTCCCTTCAGGTATATCAGATTATCTCAAGTCACAGTGTTGATCGACCTCAAAACCCTAGAGCTGTTTAAGTTGTTGATTTCTTTTTTAGAAATTTGTACTTGTAGATGAAATTACATGAGTACTACGTCTAATTTATCTCTATTTGACAATAGCACGAAGGCGATTTTTCGTTTAAGGAGGCGTGGTACCACCTATCGGATGAATATCCAATTAAATACGAGGGGGAACGGCTTCCGCCACCTATTGTGTCCGATCTTAATGGCGATGGAAAGAAAGAGGTTCTTGTGGCTACCCATGACGCTAAAATTCAGGTATTGTTTATCTAGTTCGTAGAATGGAATTTGGGGTTTCAATTGAAGGATAGCTCATAGGGATTGGTTCGGACTTCAATAGTTTCAAAGTATGAACTAATTGGGATTATATTCAAATTCCCAAACCTCTATTCTTCTTCCAAGCAATACTCTCAAATACTTGTCATTTTTAACTCAGTGTTGCTCCAAACATACATTGCGGCTATTATTTGCTATATAACCTTGTGTTATCTCTTATATAGCAGATAAACTTTTAGCATTTGTAAATTATGAATCGAAGGGTACTACACTACTAGTGTTTATAGTTACATTTATCACCACCTATCTTGGGATTGGAGTCCTGAACATGTTCTTTATCTCACACTGATCCAGGTTTTAGAACCTCACTCTAGGCGTGTGGATGAAGGATTTAGTGAGGCTCGTGTTCTTGCAGAAGTAAACTTGTTACCTGACAAAATCCGTGTTGCTTCGGGCAGACGGGCAGTAGCCATGGCAACAGGGGTAGTTGACCGAACTTTCAAACGTGGTCAAGTGCAAAAACAAGTCTTGGTTGTTGTGACATCAGGTTGGTCTATAATGTGCTTTGATCATAACCTTCAAAAGCTATGGGAAACAAATGTTCAGGTGACCTTTTTTTTCATATAAATTTTGCATAAACCTCAGTTTCTATGGTCAAACTCTAATACATTCTGTTTTTTTTTTCAGGAGGATTTCCCACACAATGCTCACCATAGAGAGATATCAATTTCTGTAAGTAATTATACGTTAAAACATGGAGATGCTGGGCTTGTGATTGTTGGAGGAAGGATGGAAATGCAGCCACATGTATGTCTCTTCAACTCTTCTGTTTTTGTATTTCCATCATTATAATTTATAACATTGTATCAAAATTGAATAATCATTTGTACACTATTTCAGATGCACCTTGATCCTTTTGAAGAGATTAAAATGGCTGAGGAAAGTGCAGATCAGCATAGAAGAAGCGCAAGCGAAAAAAGAAGTAAAGTTATTTCTTTATCAACATTTTGTTTCTGATGTTTTTTTAAGTCAAATTTTTTATATATATATTTTTTCATGTAGTCTGCAGATGCATCTGCAGCTGTTGATTTACGCCATTTTGCATTTTATGCTTTTGCTGGGCGAACTGGTTCACTTCGCTGGAGTAGAAAGAATGAGGTAATAATTTTATAAACCATTTATTATTTATAGATTATATCTTAATTCTGTTTACTAACAATTATTCTGTTATTAAAAGAACGTGGAAGCTGCTCCATCAGATGAATCTCCACTAATTCCACAACATAATTATAAACTCGATGTTCATGCTCTTAATAGGCGTCAACCAGGAGAGGTACACTACACTATACAAATATATATAATTTTTATATTTTATATCTTAATGAGTCAATGCTAGTAAATGATGTGAATTTTTCAATTGTAGTTTGAATGCAGGGAGTTCAGGGAATCAGTTCTAGGAACCATGCCACATCACTGGGTGAGTACATCATACTTGACTTCTTTTTTTTGTGCTCTTTTTTCATCATCTTTAATTCTTTTTTTTTTTAATAAAATAAATCAGGATAGGAGGGAGGATACAATGCTAAAGCTGGCCCACTTTAGGCGGCATAAAAGAAAGTCGGTGAAAAAAACACCTGGAAAATCTTCAACTTACCCATTCAACAAACCAGAAGAAAACCATCCTCCTGGGAAAGACTCTAGTAAAAAGATTTCAAATTTAATTGGAAAAGCTGCAGATTTTGCTAATTCAGCAAAAACTAAAAAAGCATCACCTTATGTTCCCACTATTACAAATTACACACAGCTCTGGTGGGTCCCCAATGTTTTGGTGGCCCACGAAAAGGAAGGAATTGAAGTTCTACATTTAGCATCTGGTCGTACCTTATGCAAGGTAACATAAAACATATCATCAATCCATTTATACATACATACTAAAACTAATACTAATAAATATATTTTAAATTTTTTAGCTTCATCTTCATGAGGGTGGATTGCATGCCGATGTTAACGGAGATGGAGTTCTAGATCATGTCCAGGTTATAATTATTTAATATAAGTTTTAAATTATTAATTTTTTTTTTTTTAATAAATAAAAAAATAAAAGTTATTATGTGGTGCATTGCAGGCTGTTGGGGGGAATGGAGCTGAGCAAACGGTTGTTAGTGGGTCAATGGAAGTTTTGAGACCTTGTTGGGCAGTTGCAACATCGGGTGTACCAGTGAAAGAACAACTTTTCAATGTTTCGATTTGTCATCATTCTCCTTTTAATTTGTTTCCTCATGGGGAATATTCTAGAAGCTTTGGAAGGGGTCTTGATGTAACTTCACTTGAGGTAGCAACACCTATTCTCATTCCTACAAATGATGGCCATAAGCATCGCAAGGGTAGCCATGGAGACATTGTATTTCTAACAAATCGCGGAGAGGTAAATAATAATAATAAGGAGAATATTGTAATTTATAATTTACTCATATAATAAGAAAGTAATATTAGAGTTTGGTGTGTGGCAGGTAACGGCTTACTCCCCGGGGTTGCATGGGCAGGAAGCTGTGTGGCAATGGCAGCTGTTGACTGGTGCGATATGGTCAAACCTTGGGTCGCCAGCTGGCATGATGGATGCGGGTTATGTGGTCCCGACTTTAAAAGCGTTTAACCTGCGGATGATGCATGATGATAATAATAATCAGCAGCAGCATTTGATATTGGCAGCGGGTGAGCAGGAAGCGGTAGTGGTGTCGCCTAGAGGAAGTCTACTGGCGAGCATTGAGCTTCCTGCACCGCCAAGTCATGCGTTGGTGGATGCAGATTTTTCAAATGATGGGCTGACGGATATTATTGTTGTGACTTCGAATGGGGTTTATGGGTTTGTTCAAACCAGGCAACCGGGTGCCTTGTTTTTTAGCACACTTGTTGGGTGTCTCATAGTTGTGATGGGGGTTATATTTGTCACACAGCATTTGAATTCCATCAAGGGGAAACCTCGACTTCCACCTGGAGGACACATTTAGAACCACATACAGTCTACAGACAAATGTCAGGTGAGGTCTTGAATCATGACTTAAGTGTTTTTATTGATAGTAGTGAACCTTTACATAGACTTAGAGTGCTCCTTTTTTTGATTTGTTTCAACAATCAGGTGTTTTTATGTGATATTATAGTATTAAGAGGGTTTTTGTATACCAACTCCTGGACTCCTGCTCAGTCTTGTCTCTAAAATGCATTTAGCCATCATGTATTTTACTCGTGCACCATATACAAAAATCCACTTTTAATTTTGTAAATTCAAAGCTTATTATTTCAGTTTACAACACTTGTCGATTTTGCTATTTGGAAGTCAAAACATGGACTATGATTTTGACGACCATGTATGATGTCCTTTTCCCGATATTTGGAATAACGGCCTAAAAAGTTAAATCATCAACAACAATATCCCATCACATTAAACAGCTACTAGTTTAATCATCAACTGGATATAATTATAGATATGCAAGACCTATCTAAAGTTCATTATAGAGATTGCTTATTGTTATCTTTTGGTTTGGCTACTAGTACACCAATAATGATTCTTTCTATTTAGGGGTTCCATTTGATTTTTAATTATAACTTAAACTTTTGGTTTTAACTTCAGAAAAACCAAACCGTCATTTTTTATTTTTTATTTTTTTTGATTTTCAGATTTTTCCGGTTAATTGTTTCTACTTTCTTCAGCTAAATATTAACAAAAACAAGCATACTTGCTATTAATTTTCATTGCTATTAATTTTCAATAGAACCGGAAATGCATAATAATTGTTTGGGATAATGACTTACAAGGTAACATAGTTTTAGTTTTGTTCACGTTTAGTCTTTTAATTTATTTTTTGTCCACATATTACAATTGAATTTGTTTGGATTGTTCATATTACATCCTTATGAACGGTTGGTGTAGATTTTAGCGAGTCATAAGAATGTAATGTGAACAGTCCAAACAAGTTCAATGGTAGTATATAGACAAAAAAACATAAGGGACCAAATGCAAATAAAACCTAAACTATGTTACCATTATAAGTCATTAACCCTTTCTACAATAGTTTATTCACATCACTAGAGAAATGGTTTGATCTTTTTAGAACCGATCCCGCTATTTGATGAGCCTGCATGATATTAGGTAGTTGGTCAAATAAAGGCTAACTAAGTCAATGGTGCTTAGTTGGAACTAAGATGAGCAACCAGTGTCAACCGGACTGAACCCGATTTGGAATTGAAACCGGTTTAAACTAATAACGAGAATCGATAAGTGGACCATATGCCAGATGTTGGTGTCAGTGCCAGTTTTCGGTTAAATACCCGGTTTGAATCGACACATGTTCTTATGCAGTTGGTGCATAACTACTTAATGATTTGAGCTCAAATGTTTAGAATAATACCAAATCATCCAACAAAAATTAACCTGATATATAAAGAAATTAGGTGTTTATATAGTCTAAAATGAAGTACAAACAGGAAACTCGATGCTAAAATAACATAAATTCAGCTTTGATAACCTATGTTTCGGGACCCATAACTCAATCAACATGTAACCAAATAAGGTGTTTATATAGTCTAAAATGAATTACACATAGCAGCAAACTACGTGTTGAAAAAAATTCATGACATTCCGACTTCAAACGAAGGAGTTATAATAGTTTAAAGAATGTGAAAGATTGAGTAGGTACGAGCTCAAACTAAAACACCTCTCATACGGAGCTAGTTGAAATGCAGTTCAATGGTAACATAGAAGACAACTAGAGCTGTCGAGTTATAAGGATGTAATATCAACGGTCCAAACAAGTTTATAAGGATGTAACGTGAACAATCCAAATGAGTTCAATGGTAATAATATGTGGACAAAAAGGGACTACATGTGAACAAAACCTAAACTATGTTACCTACACCAACCGTCCAAACAAGTTCAATAGTAATATGCAAACAAAAAAATAAATTAAAATGACTAAACGTGAACAAAACCTAAACTATGTTATCCTTATAAGTCATTATCCCTAATTGTTTTACTTTTGAACATACTTAATTAACTCTGTAATCAACTGAATATATACATAAAATAACATAATATTGGGTATTTTGGTTCAGTTTTGGTTTTTTTTTCTTCCTTCCAGCTACCGTCATTCTTCTTTAGATGCTCAAATATATGTCGACAAGAAAACAAGCATTAACGAGTACAAGATCAATATTTCAAATATAACAATTTACACAACTTGATGCAATTCATTAAAAATAGTTGGTGGAACACAATATATTTGCAATTGTTCTGAAATATGTATCACCCAATTCCAAAGATCACTTGAAACCTCTAATCAACATCTCACCGCAAGGAAAACAATATATGGGACGACTCACAACCACCAACTTGGTGAAAGTGGCTGGGGAACTTGTTAGTTTTCCGGCTGGTGGGGCCCAGTTTCTCGATGGTGGTCTAGACTACATATGTTACAACAAGTAAACAAAAGGTAACTATATTAGTAACAAGGTTTAATTTGTAGGCTAAATGCAAGAAATAGCAACGTATTTCCATCTTGCCTTATCATATATAGCCTTTTTTTTTTCTTATTACCCTACTTTTCAAATTATTTTTTATTACTGCATTCTCTTTTAGAAAATTCACCCTTTTTATAGCAATGGTAATCTAATAACCTATGACATGACACAAGCTGACGAATTCTTATGTCATGTCATTCAGTCATTCTCCACATAGGATGTCCATGTACAATATATTGCTGAAATGACAATATAATTAATACCTATCCTGATTACATTCGAATTTTTTGTTTTTTTGTAACTTTTATATAAAAAATCATTAACCATGCTGATAAAATCTAACAAAAATAAGTAATTTACTAAAAACAAAATAGAAGATGACTGATTGTAAATATATTTTCATTATTTTCACTTATACTGAATCCGATAAATCGTGTTAAACATTTCAATCATACTTAATCAATCAAACTTGTATATAGAACTTATTTCTATAGAACAGAACAAAACTGTGGGTTTTTCAACAGGTCGATTCTTCGGGTTTCTTTTTCAATTCTTGGTTCGGTTATTTTGAGCATCCCTATTTGATGCTATAACTTTCTTAAAAATTGGTACAAGATTTGAAGTTTGAAAGTGTTTTGTTAAAAAAAAAATGCCACGTCAACAATATATTACAGGTGAACAAGGGAGAATTTACATAGCCAAAACATGTGATGGACACACCTAATGTTGAACTTTTTTAGAGATTATACCAACATTTTTAAATGAATAAATTTTGCTTTGATGCTTCCACTTGTAGTTGTAACTATTAAGTATTTTGTGATTTCAGATTTTAGAATTAAGAATGGGTGTCTAAGAGGATGAGCTGATGACTTATGAGACTTGAAGCTTTTTTATGTATTTTTGAAGGGTACCTTTTTGACAGAAACGCCCTTGCAATGTTGTTCGCCCCTAAAGATGAACATGAAGCTCAAATTGAGTTTGCTCTTCTCAGAGACTGCAATTTCAGCTGTCATGAGTTTGTATTAAGTTTTGAAGGGTACCCTGAGACATACAATCTTCTCCATCAGACCTTCTCTTCTCCATGCTAAAAAAGAGATAATTCCAGTGCACACAAAAGCTACATGAGTTTGTATTAAGATCATTGATTATAATGTTATATAACTTTTATAACCTGCATGCAAGTGTAAAATCACACCTGTGATTGTAAAAGTTGATAGAATTGTAAGGGAAGGAGGGAAATTGATTGTTGGTGATGAATCCAGTACAATAGGGGAAGTTGAAAACCTGTTGAAGCCACTACATTGCAATGTAAATTTTAATGTTTTTATAAGAATCAAGAAGAATTACTCAGTGCCAAGAAGTCAACTTTGAGGCCCAACACATATGCAATGGCTTCATGATCTTATTCACTCAGAGACTAGATATACAAATTGAGAAATTCTAATTTTTGGAAAGTAATATGATTTGGTAAAACACATCCAATAGACATCACTTTTCTGTGTTTTCACTAGTAAACGATTTACATTTTGCATGCATCAGAGGAAGAAAAGTCAACACTACATCGAAAGGAGGTCAACAGCTTTCAGAATTCTCCTTCTTTTTCACTTACTATCCAGGAGATCTTGCAACTCGCCATTCCTAACAGCTGCTTCAAGATCTACAAGAATAAATTACATATATATATAAGAAGAAGAAACCTTGTAAATTTATGAAGAGAATATAATAAGTAAAAAGAGAAGAAAGCTAACCACTAGCACCACCAATATGCTTTCCATTAACAAATATTTGAGGAACAGTGCGACGGCCAACAAGATCTAAAAGCACATCCTGAATTTGGGATCCATCATCTGAAAATGGCATCTTAACATTTTTAGTGTTACACATTATATCATTTATCATTCCAAGTAAAATTGAAGAAAATGCTAAACTTAGTGAACAATGGAAGATTAGGTGACAAATACCTCGATGATCAAGCTCCACAACATAAGGATTCTCTTGTAGTTCATTAAAGATGCGTTTGGCACGACGACAATACCTAAATTCGTGACAAATAACACCGAGTGTTCTCAATATTGATGCCGATAATCAATTGTATCTTCAATATAATTACGCAACAAAACTCATCCTGGTGTATTCCAATCGTATAAAAAACAAACTACTAATCACAAACTTCGCAAAGTAACGAGAAAAAATGAATGATTTCAAGCAGTTCTGTATATTCAACTCAAAAAATTTCACGATTGTTCTAACAATAGGCATGCAGCGTGTTCAAATATATAAATATGAATCGAAAGAAATCTAACGGGCAATAAGATTTGGAGAACACGGCGATCTTGTTAGAGTAGATGACGGTCTGAACAAAAGCCGACGGAGACTTCGAAGCTTCGGCTTTCTTCGGTGCATTGATCAACAACAACAACGACAACACAATTCCAGAAATTAACACTCCGAACTTATAGCGATAATTCGACCGAGACACCGTCATCGTCTTCATCTCGCTTCGCCTCTCTGTCTCTGTGTTTTAGCTTGCGTCTGAATGTCCGATACAGAAAATGGTGAAATTAGGCAGGTTCATGGGCTTCAAGCCCTTTGAATTTACATATATGGTCCGCAATGTATTAGGGTTCCAGCTTATGCGTCTCTTAGTTTTAAAATTTTAATTTTTTAGTCCCTATGCGTTCTATGTGATTCTTTTGGAAAGATAAGGTCATAAGGAGCCCGTAAGGGTGACATGACACCCGATTTTTCTTTAACAGCTAAATTTTATTCAAAGACCCAAAAGCAATGGAGCTAGAAATGGAAAATTACAAAGAAATATAAACCATATATGATTTTGTATCCATAAGGACCATAAAAACTAACTTTGCGATTCCTATCGGATAACCAATCAAAAGAAAGAACAACAATATTGTCAAAAATGTTGCTCTTCTTGATATGGTTACTATGAAACACCATGCAATTTCTATATCGCCACAACATCCAAATAATAGTAATAACAATAACTTCAAGAGCCTTCCTCTTCCAACTTGACACGAGGGCAGTGTCAACCCACTTGGCAACGCTATACCAAACATGAGCAACTATCGAACAACTCAAAAATACGTGAGAAGTATCTTCCAAACCAACATCATAGGAAGGACACATAATAGAAGGAGCATCAACCCTTCTATCCATAAGATTTTTTCTCGAGGGAACCCAATTCCAAACACATCGTAGACGTGGTGTGGAGTAAAGCAACTTACGGAGCTTTATAAATAAGAGAGAGGATATTCTCTCTCTCTCTCTCTCTCTCTCTCTCTCTCTATGGAGGATCCACGCGTGAACACCGTCCCAAGATGGTGGAGTGGTGTTGTCATGAGGTGGGACGCATCATACACATTACCATATCGGATGGCCTAAAAATGACTTTCAGGAAAAACTCAATGATCCATCAAGTTCGGTGGAATATGGTTCATGATTGTAGATTCCAAAAATTATGGAATGAACGATGTAATCCTCACAATTTATCAAGTTTTTTTTATTCCATATTTATAGAAAATGAGTGAAATCAATGCCATAAATGTAATGAAGGCAAGAAAGTGTTTGAAGAAAGGATCCTAAACCTACTTGGCTTATGTGGTAGATACGATCAAAGAGAAGAAAACAAAGGAAGATATTGATGTTGTGAAAGATTTTCCCAAAGTATTCCTCAACGATCTACCAGAAATTCTAGTAGAATGTCAATTGGAATTTCATATAGATATAGTACTAGGAACCGCACCAATTGCAAAGACACCATATCGCTTGGCACCCTTATAATTAAATGAGCTAATGACACTTTTTCAAGAGTTGTTAATCCAAGGTTTGTGAGACCAAGCACCTCACCTTAGAGGAGGTCCGATCTTTGTTTGTGAATAAGAAAGACACATCGATGAGAATGTGTAGTAATTATCGTGACCTCAACAAAGTGACCATAAAGAATCGATATCCTTTAACCATGATTGATGATCTCTTTGATCGATTGCAAGGAGTGAGTTATTTCTTAAAGATACGATCCGGTTATTACCAACTGAAAGTAATATATGAAAACGTGGAGAAAACAAAGTTTCGAACTAGATATGGGCATTTTGAATTTTCCGTGATGCATTTTGGCCTAACCAACGAGCTCACGACTTTTATGGACCTTATGAATAGGGTTTGTAAACCACATATTGATTAAGTTGTGATAGTTTTCATTGATAATATTTTTATTTACTCGAAGACAACAACAGAGCATAAGGAACATTTAACACATGTGCTCAAATGATTGGAAGAAAATTTGTATGCAAACTTCTCAAAGTATGAGTTTTGGCTTGAAGAAATACAATTTCTTGGTCACGTGGTGAACAAAGATGGAATAAAAATGGATCCAACAAAGATTGAAACTATTATGAAGCGGAAATCCCCAAAGAGTTTACTAGAGATAAAAAAAAATCTTGGATTGACGGGTTACAACCAGCAATTCATTAAGAACTTGTCAAAGATTGCAAACCTCTTAACGGAATATGTTTGAACCGACATTCATGAAAAAACATTTGAAGAACTTAAAAAAGAAGTTGTGTGAGATGCGCGCACACATATATCCTTAGTTCTTTTTTTAAAATAAACATAAATTTCTAATATATTAGTTTACACATTAGGCATGTTTAAAAAAAATGCTTAGTTTAAATTAAATCGTATATAACAATAATAATTGTTGGATTTCTTTTTCTTAAATATATTCTTAAGAAAAAAAATTATAACCATGTAGGATTATTTTTATCATTGTTTATGGCGTTTGTCCATATATCTTATTTTTTGAACCCTTAATATAACTTTATATTATTATATTAACTTAATATATTATTTGAAATGATTTATGCATGTTAAAAGTGTGGGAAAATTCCATAAAAGTTATATATTTTGATTTTATAATCGATTTAATCCTTTATTAATGAAGTCCTAAAAACCAGAAACTGTATTCATGTAACATCCCGTTTTAAAATAGAGTAATTAAATAATAAATCAGGAACCCCGAGAAGCAAGTTTTAGTATTAATATATATAATTATCGTCCAAAATAAAATAATAATTAGTGGGGTGTTGGTTTCGGGAAGCCAAATGACAAGATTTGAATTTCCAGGGGTTAAAGTGTAATTTTGGGATTTAATTTGTAAAGATTTTCCTAAGTAAAGGGGTGTTTGGCAATTACTTGCACTCTATATGTAAGGATTTCATAAGGCAAGGTTTAGATTGTAAATTAAGGGTTTGATTTGAAAAGAATTTGTCATGGAGGGACCATTTAGTAATTTTCGAATCTAATTTGAAAGAAGAAGAAGTAGGAGGGGCTGGAAGTGTGAATTATGGAAAGTTGTCTGTGAGCAGGTATAAGAATCGCTACCCTCGCTCAAACCCTAACCCTACGTTTTTATACTACCAGCCGCCATCACCATGTGTGGCATCTTCAGCCGCCACCTTGGGGAGCTCCAAGACCATCGCATGCTACCTCCTAGCCTTGCCGGAACCGACAACCACCCCCACTCCACCTTCCTCCCTTCGCTCTTCTGTTCCTCCATCTCGTCGAGAAGCTATCTCCGTGCTTCTGTCGCTGTGGTGACCACCGGAAACCCTCGTTGCTGCTCCGTTGTCATCAAGCGGCGGACCGTCGTATCCGTCTTCTTCTTTTTATTCTTCTATGTCGCTGCAAGGTCGCCATTTCGGGCGGCTGTCGCGGCTGATGTTCTTCCCTGATGGCCAGGTGCCACCGTTCATGCTGCTGCCCTCCGTCACTCGTCCCTTCGCTGTTGGATTGGCGTGGCCGTCGCCGCCACGCGACTGTTCCGCTGTGGCCGACATTCTTCGCCGCTGCCGTCGCCGTTTTTCTTTTGCTACTGCCGCCTTCGACACCTACCTCAGTGGGTGTTGGGTTTACTTTCCGGGAAATAGGGGCGTGCGTGTGTGTAGTGGGTGTGTGTTTCAGCGTGTCTCGCAAGCTTGGATGTCTCGGGTTGTTGCTGCCGGAGAAAAGTCAAGGAAAAACCACCATGGTCGCCAGCCATGGTGGCTGCCACCTCAAGACCGCCATGGAGGGTGTGTATGTTGCTTAGTGTGTGTATTTTTTGTGTGTGTGTGTTGAGTATTGCTGTAAAGTTGTAATAGTGTGGGAATAATCAAAAGAAAATTTGTAACCACCACCGTGAGGTGGTGGCTGCCGCCACCGGCCACCGTGTCGGGTGGCGGTGTGCCTTGTTTGGTTTGTGACTCGTTTGGATGTTTGGACAAGGGACTACTAAACCCTAATGGGCCAAAAGAAACCCTAGTGAGCCCAAAGAGACCCCAATGGACCTAATAAAACCCTATTGGGCTCAATAAGGCCCAAAGTGACCTAGATGCTCAACCAATTGACTAATGAGCTAGTATTGGGTAGGAAACCCTAATTTAAGGCAAACCCTAATAGCATAAAACTCTAATTCTTGAGAATTAATCGGCACACACACGAGATTATTTAATAACTTGAAATATTAAATAATAATCATTGGCAAACTAACTTAAGGCAAGAATGGACTTAATGGATTAATTCCTTAATGGATTAAGTCCTTAATGGGTTAAGTAAGAAACACTTAACCCTAATAACCATTTCATGTGAAAACCCTAATTTTAGGATTATAGGCTTGGACTTATCGGGACCCACGTTTGGGCCATTGGAATGGAATTGTGTATTAAGCCCAATCCCACCATATGACTTATTTAGTAAAGTGAGGGACTTAATGGATTAAGTCCTTAATGGGTTAAGTGAGAAACACTTAACCCTAATTGTCATTTTATGTGAAACCCTAATTTCACTTGGACTTTGTGTTGGGCCCTTATGATTATGTAATATTGGGCCATGGGGATTGGATTAGAATAATTGGATGGGCCTTAAGGAAAGACCATGTAGAGGTCTGGGCCCAATTTGGAAAGTTGGGCCATATGTTGGGATTTGGCCCATTATTTGATTTTTGGGTTTTTGTAGTATGAATTGGACCTTGGGCTTGGAACCCAATTATTAATTGGGTATTGTTTGATGTTGACAGTTCGGGAATCTGTCAACCAACAGCTGGAGTTGTATCTGCGGGACTTCAGCAGTGCCAGGTGAGTTATCCTCACTATACTAAGGGGTCTAAGGCACCAAGGCCGGCCCATTGGATATGTTATTCTAGCAGTGTTAGATGTTGAGTATAAGTTAGTGTTGCATGCTAGTAGTTATGTCAGTTAGGTAGACCTGTAGGACTACCTGTGATGTTATATGATTATTGCATGCTCAGTGGTTATGTGGTATGTTATATGTTATGTGGGATGGGTTGAGGTTGTACTGCTCCGTGCGGTAGCCAACAGACCTTAGGAGCATTCCAGTTACGGGCTAAAGGGAGACTCGTACTGTGGGCTCGGGAGCATTCCAGTTACGGGCTAAAGGGAGACTCGTACTGTGGGCTCGGGAGCATTCCAGTTACGAGCTAAAGGGAGACTCGTACTGTGGGCTCAGGGGTAATCCAGTCTGTAAATCTGGGGACCCATTACATGTTGTTCA